TCCCCCCTCCTCCCTCCCTCCTTCCTTCATCCTCAGTCTGGTGTCCTTGGATGACGACAAGCCATCAGGAAGTGCCTCCAACGCAGGTAAGTGCTGCCCCCTGTAGGCTGACACACAGAGTTACAGTTTTTTTGTCTCAGTTACTGTGGCACAACCTTAGAACCTTAAAACATGAAAGGATCAGACATGCCGAAGGATCTTTGTGTATTGTAAGAGCAAATCAGGATCCATTGCTTATTATCTGTGATCATACAATGTAAAGTGTCAGTTTAGTAATTTCACCTCTGTGAAGCTGGAATCTAGAGCTCAAATAATAAATAATAAATTGCAATTAGCACCTATTTTTGGTATGGATTAGTTCCGAACATTCTCTAGTTCCAGCTTCTTATTTGTGAAGATTTGTTTTTGTCTTATGTCAGTGATTCTTACATGACCTCCTTCTGTGGGTTAATCAGACAAAATAAGCAATTTCCAACATAAGAAATAAAATAAAAAGTCATCAAAACACAGGTAGAAATAGTTTTCCTCAAATTGAAACTTCAGTCTGCAATTATTGCTCTAAAATACTAGAATACATATAATGTAGATATCAAACTCCACCAGCAGCATAATTCAAAAGAGAATCTAGTACAATAATGTGCTATCAAACAGTCTCGCAAAAATCTCCTTGAGAAGCAATGAGCTGCTTTTTAACAGCACTCCTGTTATTTTAGTTTTTTAATGTCAAGTTGTCAAATGAAAAAACCATGTGTGTCCCCCTCCAGACCCCGCCCACAGCAGTGACAGGCAGAGCCAACCCAGTGACAGTGGTAAGTTTCCTGCGTGTGACTGTATTCTCGGGCATTTTCTGTAGCCAGCACTAGTGCAAACAGTACAGATGTGTACATTGGGATTGCTGCAGCTGACTGTGGACCGGATGCCTGTCGGCTTTATGATCCTTTTAATCCCAGCGCACCAAAAACCAACTAAACCTACTCCAGCCCTGCAAGACCTCAGAGGACTGTCAGTGGGCTCTGATGACGACTTGATGCTCATGGCCTGTAATCTGCCGCAGTCGGCGCTCGCAGCCCCAGAAAACTTCCCTCTCCAGCCCCAGCTCCTGCCTCCTCTTCAGAGTGAAGACCCCAGTGAGGCGTGGGGCTTTAGAAGCCTCCAGTCCAGCCTCTCGCAGCTGCCTGCCACCGGTAAACCGGCTTGCTGTCTGCTCTTTCCTCTACCTGTGAATTCTTGCTGCTTCTCCGCTTTCCCACCTGACTTTGCTTCGTTGTGAACAAATTCACCTCTCTTGGGATTTCCACTCTGCTTCCTTCTGCACTCTGGATCTGGATTCAGCCTGCCTGCCGCCTGCCAGGGGCTTTGCTTCCTTCACCTGTGTCATCTTCTTCGCTTTCCGAGACTCACTTCTTTGATTTTCTGGGCTGTATTTACAGTGAAGTTAGCTCAGCATACAGACGGGAAACAGCTATCCTAGCTCTATGCAACATCCTTATTTCTAACCAAGGGAAAACCATGAATTCTGTGTTTGAGCAGCTTGAATGACGGCTCTGATGTGAGACGATCAGCAGACTCACACAGAGAAAAGGAAGCTCTGCAAACAAGTACTTGACGATAAAGCCAGGCGTCAGAGCAAATGTTTGACAAAGGGGGAATCCCACAGCTTTTAACAACATCCAACAGAGCCCACCTGGGCTTTGTCATGCAAGTATACATGGGAAATGTAGTTCCATGGTCCGAATATCACAAGAGGATTCCCTGCTGGCAAACGTTTACCCTGATGAAGACCTAGAGCAGGGATTCAAACACATTAGATTTAATAATTATTTCTCATCATCAGGCTCCCTCACTGTGTTGATAGTGGCTGTCTTATTTAGGTTTGCCGGTCCAAAGTCAGCCCATCTTGTATTTCACGCGTCATTCTGAATGAATCTTGCCAACCTGAATCTCGATAGAGCGCTCTTGTTTATTTAGTTTTCCTCAAATAAAATTCCCAGCCCTCTTTCATAAGCAGGAGGAGCACAGGTGGCTCAGCTCCTGCAGTTACCTGAAAGAAAGCTCGGTTTCAGCATTAAAGGTCTTTCCTCTTGACAGCTACCTCCTTTACTTGTTCTTTACTGAGGTCCCTCCTCTGTTAACAACCTGTCTCTGCTCAGATCCTCATCTGGCCTTTTCAGAAGCAACATCTGGTCTAACACATCGCCCCTCTTGTCTGTCCTCCCTTCCCTCTCCTCTCAGGTGGCCCCCCCCACTGTGCCGGTACAGGGCTGAGACCAGAGGAGGAAGACGCCGAAAGGGGCGACATGGCTTTCCTCAAAGACCTCCTGAGCCTGGGCCCGGGGGCCAGCGACGAGTTCAGCAGAGAGTGGCAGGATGCTTTTGGGATGTTTGACCCTCCCAGCGTCCCTCCGTCGAGCACGGGAGCGGCGAGTAGCGGGCCGGCAGCGCGTCCGCCCTCGAACCCCCCCAGCCCCACAGGCTTCCTGCCCTCCCATCTGCTGGATCACAGCCTGAGCTCTACAGGTCAGCCACAGCGCACTCCGCTGGAGGGATGCGCTCACTGCAGCACACCGACCAATCACTGTTGGTGACACAGAAGACTAACTTTTAGAATCCCTCTGCTCTGTCTTTCAGGCTGGGCAACCCCGCCTATGTTCCAAGCTCCGCCCCTGCAGCCGCCTCCTGAGCAGAACCAATCAGCTCAACCGGCTCCAAGTCCAGCAGCTAAAGGTAAACTCTCCTCAGTCTGCGTTCTTGTCTGTGAAAAAGCAAAACTAAACCTAAACCTTCCTCTAACAACGTGTGTGTGTGTGTGTGTGGTGTGTGTGTAGCCGCTCCAGGTGGATCCAAAGACATGTCTGCTTGGTTCAACCTGTTCGCAGACCTGGACCCCCTCTCCAACCCCGATGCCATCGGACGCTCCGCGGACGAGCTGCTCAACGCCTAAAGTTCTGTTTGTGTGTGTGTGTGTGTGTGTGTGCGCGTGTGTGTGTGCAGCAGTGTGTGATTTCTCTCCAAGGATCTGGATATCAGCAAGTTTCCATGACAACAACCAAGTAAAAAAGAACACATTAACATTGACAAACGCTCTTACAGGCTTTGACACACACACACACACACACACACACGCGCCTGCATTTCTGTCAGCAGGGGAGACGTGTACATATCCACACACACACACACACTTGTATTTGTGTTACACTGGAAGTTATTTGACACAGCGAAAGGAAAACACGGTCAGTCGATTGTGAAACGCTCTCCTCAGCAGCTCACAGCTGCTCTGTGAACGACTGTTAACACCACACATGAAGCCACTGACTCACATGCACACAGCTGACCTCATGTGGCTTGTGTTACCTTCTGCTGTCAGTCATTGCAGCTTCTGTCAAGCGGAGAGAATGTTTGTGTTACAGGTTTATTTTGGACGCTGTCGTGTTTTTGTTTTATTCATGTTTGCGTTGTTTGGGTGTGTGTCAGTTTGCAAGGGACCCGGGATGTAAGAGAATATCTATTTACTGCTTAGTGTTGTCTCCACATGGTAGCACACGATTGTCACATATGAATGGAGAGCATATATATAGGACATATGAGTGTGTGTGAGATAAGATGGGACCATGAGCCTGTCACTGAACCTGTATTTGCACACAGAAACAGCAGCAGTTGAAGCTCAAGCCGCACCCAGGGGTCTGTATCCTGAAGCAAGAGTAGCGGGTTATCCGGCGGTCTTTGGACTTGACTCTTTGGTATCGCCATGCTCAGAGGACAGCTTCATTAGTAACCAATCCAGCCCAAAATAAGAGTCTACAGTCATGCTAGCAGGTCTATAAGAGAGCTCAATGCTAACATGCAGATGTTGAGTAAGTGTAGTGCTAACATCTGCTATTTAGCACCAAATATAAAATGTTTTATCAGACATTTCTTCTGTACTTTTCTTACCTTACTTTACTTTAACTGCTTATATTTTTCACAACATTTTGTTCACCGTGCGACAAAAAAACCACTAAAAGTTCACTATGCAAAGTAAAATGAGTCAACTGAGCCAGTTCTCCAGGATCAGTAGCGTTCGGCCCGGCGAAGGCAGGAAACCCGAGGATGAACTCGCTTTGTGATACAGACCCCTGCGCAAACTCCGGATCTTGAAGACTCCACCGGTTAAAAAGATAAATAATGAGACACTTTATCGATCACTGTAAGGAAATAGTCTGTTAGGGGGTTCAGCCTAACGGTCTAAAAGGTAACACTAAACTGTGAGCCGTCCGGTGGTGTCATTATGACGGCCTGAAGCGGACTCAGATTACAGGCAAAGTGTCCAAACTCTCTGTGACACCGACAGCCTCTTCACGTTCATCCTCTCACCTTCAGCCCGGATTGCCGAACGGGTAAATCATCTCCAGTCCCGTCTGTCGTTTCACAATCACGAGTCCAAGGCCAAGAAAAATGTGTGAAGGATGAAGCATTTATTTTGTAGGAAGTTTAAAGTAGGACACAGGAATAAGATTATTTGGGGTGGGTGGGTTATTTAAGTCCGATAAAGTAACGGCACCTAAGATGCATTGAAATGTATTTATTTTCTGATTATAATCACCATTTGCTAAATCAGATGGTTTTGTTGTGCTGTACACTGAAGATAACGCTATAAAATAACACTAAAATACTGTGTATTTCTAGCTCTGTGTGTTGTGTATTTTGAGAATTCGCAGATGGATTGTGGAAATATAAGATTGTTTTATGGGAAAATAACACTGGAAAACTGTTACCATGTCATAAAATGGATTTCTAACTTCCCTAATGTGGGGAATTTCCTGATTTTCCTGATTTGTTTTTGGAGGGAAGACTCTTTAGACATTTTTGAATGTGAACAAACGGGGTGTTAAAGTGAAGAGTTGGTTTCTAAAATGTATTTTATGACAATTTATGTGAGTGGTTGAGAGAATATGGCGTCCACATGCACCAACTGGAAGCAAATCCCTCATGAACTTCAGAGTGCATCATGGGGGAAAAAATATTTTTTTGCGAGTCTCAGAAAACTTTTATACAAGCTGCACGTTAGCGTCATTTAATTCTTTTTCTCTTGTTTTAATGTGACATTATGAGGAAAAAAACAGGAAGAAACTCTACTGATGCTGCTATCCAAGTGCAGCGATCACAAGGGAAGTGTTTCTGTCACATCATGCATTATACTTTTTACTCTTGATTTACACACGTAACAAAAAGAATGTATTTCTCATGTCAATCACAAATGCTTTATTTAATTCAACTATGCCTTTTTATTTCACTCGAGGGGTTTAACAGATGAAAACTTGGCAGTTCTGTTTCCAATAAACTGGACAAGCAAACAAAGAATCATTGTGTAGATTATTTCTTGCATTGAGCCTCATTCCAAAATGCTGTTTATCCACTTTGAAAAGAAAAAGAAAAAAGGAATATCTGAAATAAATCTGTATTATCCCATGTATGAATCTTCCAAACTACTTTTGTTGTTGTTTGTAAACAGACGTCTAAAAACGACAGTGTCGCCGTAGGTGTGATTGTTTTTCAGCAAGTGGATATCTCATTTTGGAACAGAACTCCTCGAAAATGTCACTTTTAGAAACGTTACTCATGCCAAATCAGGTCACCGGACAAAATGACATCCACACTTCTCTCTACTTCTACTCTGCTACAGGTTATAACATCATTCAGGATCTCCATTGAGTGAGGCTACATAGATAGCAGCTGTTGGTTTGCTCTCTTGATAGTAGACTTGTTAGTGTGCGCTGAGAAGTTAGTATATCTTTTTTTTCTTGTATCCTATTCACTACAACCTGAGATGGACGATGTAATCTATTCTCAATTAAAATTCTCTGCAGAGCCAATTACACTCCTGATAAATAAATACATTATTATTCACAATAATGAGACGTAGTAATTCACAGTACTCAGCGGAGAAAAAGCAGGAGGAGGAGGGTTATATGGTACAATTGTTGACTCATTCAGATACATGTCTTTGTCAGCCGATAATACAAACACAGTGTGCCTCTATATTTACATATCCAGTACATTCCTATCCCACCGTAGCAGGCACAGTCAAGTAGTAATGACATATACAGGAAGATGGGCTGGGGCATGGAGAGGCTGTCCACCATTAAACTACACAGAGCTCAGACAATGTGCATGTTAACCATGTGGGGTGAGACGTGCGTGTTAAATATGTTTCATTTTAGCCACAAGTCAAAAGATTTCTAGTGGGGCTGCACAATTAATCGAAATCTCCAAATAGTAGAAGCTGCAAATAAATATTCTGTGTTTTTTCTGCTTTTTTTAAAACTTGAAACGGAGAATTTGAGCCATCATTTGACACTGCAACCAAAAAAATAATGGAATTCTTCTTCCTATCAGTGAGTATAGCTGAGTTCACACTTAATCTCCCATTAAAATCAATGCAGAAGAGTGAGTAGTGCAGCTTTAAGGTTAAAGTGAAATTCTTCTTATTTGAATCTAAAAGTTTAAGGTTTGCCACTCTGGGCTGATCTGATCCGACCCTCGTGGTCCGCAGTGTGGTGTTGGGGTTTCACCGAGCCTCTCCGTGCTCAGAGCCCTGCAATTTCACAACGACACTGAGCAAGACAAAAGGAAATCAGCGTTACGGCGAAGGTGACGGAAAGAAAAGGGAGAAAGGAACTGGGGAAAAAGGAGGAACGGAAGAGGGGGGGGTTGTGATGGTGGCGGAGTAAAAAGGGGACGTTTTGAGCAAAGGCTGGCGCTTTGGGAAGGAGGGCAAGCAGACACAGGTTGAACACGCTGCACACATCATAGCCCTGGCCTGTGTTTCCCATAGATACACCACGGCCAGGCAGGGGACCAGTTCACTGCTACCAGTTAGTGTAACAAAGGCATCGCTTGTACCATTTTACAGTTAAATGGCTGATAAAAGTACAAAACAGATGTCTGGATTTAGCTCACAGGTGGTTGAAATACATCGCTTGTGTATTTCCTGCTAGTCCCCGCCCTTTCTGTATGCATCTACGGCCACCGTAGTGCCGACGTCATGTGCGTCGTGCTAAAGGACGAACCATGATCGGAGCACTACGCTGGTTGAGCGAAACTGAGCGGTCTAAAATATCAGGCACATTTTTAACTTCTCCTTGTCACGACCGTTCAAGTTTTGCTAGATATATCTGGCAGCACCAAAATTAGCCTCCGTGGTTCAAACTCTAGGTCGCCAAGGAAACAGCGCCCTTTTTTTTTTTTTTTTTTTTTTTGTTTTCGTAATGGAAAGGCATTATTCATATCAAGAGAGAATAACTACAGATAGAAAAAAGAGATATGTCCGTGGAAAGGCGCCATGGTATAATACGATGAAATAAAAGAGTCTGTCCTTTTTCGCCCTTTTCCTCCCAAAAAACAGGAACGTAACCAGCACTAAAGGTAGAAGAAAGCGATGAAATGTTAGCTGCAAACACCCGCACCGGGCTGCAGGACTCTCACGTTGTAGTCGTCTGAGGAGGAGAGGCAGTGGGAAGCGCTTTTTCAACAAGATAGAAGGACATCAGAGAGAGCTTAGCTGGCATGCTGAAGGCATTTTTTTTTTGGGAGCAGAAGGGTTGTTTCCTAGTTTCCAATGTTTTTCGGATTTTGTTGTGTGTGTGTGTGTGGAGGAGGGAGGGGGTTCTTTTTTTGGGGGGGCGGGGGTGGGGGGACTTAAAAGCCGTCGAGGGCCATCAGAAGCTCTCGGGCTCCTCCAGGAGGCAGGGCTGGGTGGACAGAGGCACGAGGGACGGGGACAGGCTCCGGAGGCCCACCCCGGGGCGAAAGCTGAGGTCCGGGGCGGGGAGTAAGGGCTTGAGGATGCTGACGAGGCAGAAGGCGGAGCCGCTGTTGGGGATGAAGTTGACCTTGTTGCGGTCGGGACACAGGAAGGGGGGGATCTCCTGCAGAGGTTTGGGCCTGGAAGCACACACGCAGCGACACAGTTAGCCTTCACAAATACTTACATCACCTTTACAAGAAAACATGCACTCAGGGTGTGTTTACAGTGTTCAGAGCCCCATTATGGCACAACGTAGCTCGGGGACTACTTTCAGCGGCGGATGAATCCAGAATTTTGGTGCTCTGGTGAGTACTTCTGCAGCAGCAGGACAGCGTATGTGTGTGAAAGGTCTAGCTTTGTGAAATCAAACTGTAAACTTCCATGTTCTTTGGCCACATTTGAGGTTTTTTCCTACTCACATGGACTCCTCGAACACTTTGACCTTCTCGCAGCCCTCTGGAGGTTCTCTCTTGAACATGTAGCTGTTGTTGGGTCTGGGAGAGGCGGCGTATTTAGGCAGCGGGGAGCAGGGGCCCAGCTCTGAGGACAGGCAGAGAGAGGAGACTGGAGGTCAAAGGTCAGGGGTCAGGCAACAGATCGTGCTCAGAGAGACTCTGGCCCGCGTGCGCAATGTGTGTCACCTTTGTCCTCGTAGGGGCTGCCTCCACCCATGTCGTTGAGGACGGTGAGGTAGGAGGGCGAGATGGAGTCGGGACGGCTACTGCAGTTGCTATGGCTACCGCTCAGGCCACCCCCTGAGGGAGTCTGCGTGTCGATGCTGCGCGTGCTGCTGCTGCGGCGCGGGGGGACGGGTGGGGGTGCGCGGTGCCCATCTGGGACGTCCTGCGGCTGGTGTACAAACACAAACGCACAAATGAGGTCACAACAACAACAACGTCGCACCGGGAGCTTTAATCCCGGGGCCGGTGGCGGCGAGCGAATCCTTAAAAAACCTCGGATGTTAATTACGTCAGGGAAGGACAAAACACATTTCTAGTGACGCCCTAAACCCCGATCTGTTTTTCAGTGGAACTCACAACGATGGTCTCGTCCTTTTCGGGGGTGTCCTGGATGGTGATGCGTTCGATCTCCTGGTTGAGGCCCTCCACGCTGTTGCGGAAGCGAGGCGCCGATGACTTGGATATAGGGATGGGTATCAGAATGGTTTTGGGCATAGGCGACTGCAAGACACAAACACACAAACACACACACACAGCTGTGGTTGATACACAGAGTCTGCAGCTGTTTACAGATGTTGCAGTGACTTTCATTTTGCTGCAGTGAGCAGGGGAATATAAATATATGCTTCATATTTCTGGCCTTATTGCTCAGCACACACAGAAAATGACAGCTGCACTTGTAATACCAACATCAGCGTCCATAAATCCTAAGTGTTGTCTCAGAAACTGGAGAATTAAACACAAACAGACGGTGTCAGGACAACCCTGTGTCTCACACATCCACTGTAAATTATTTGTTCTCACTGATTAAATACACATTGTTTTTAAAAACCATGTAAATATCTCTGGTTCGCACATCTGCACATGCTTTGCACACTCACATAACCCTCACAATGAAGAAAAAGCCTCTTTAATAACAAACAAATGCCTCTTCAACAGAGCAGAAAGAACTATCGCATTTTATTATAAAAGCAATACTGGATGGAGCAAAGGAAGAGACAACTTTATCTCTGCTCAAACCTCTGCCCCCTACTGTACATCAACGGTAAGACTGGTTCTTGAGTGTATTTAATGGAAACAATTGCAGTGAAGCTCCATGTGAAGACAGATATGTGTATAAACCAATGGTCCCCAGTACTTTGGATTGACTGAGTGGTTCATTTGTTTCTTTCAAAGTATTTTTGTTTATTTTAGGGTTTTTGGAGACTCCTCTTTGTAGAGATACATGATGTCTATTAATGCTACTATTTGTGTGTTAGCGTGTTGTTGTGGATTTACTGTTTTTTCCTCCTTGTAATAGTGTTTTTAATTATTTTCCCTACTCTTAAACTGTTTTTTCCTCCTATCCACTTTGCTGCTGTAACATTGGAATTTCCCCATTGTGGGACAAATAAAGGAATATCTATCGATCTATGTCATGATTGCTGACTATTTTTTGTTGTTTGCCAAACTGTTAGTAGTGATTTTTCTTCTCACTGTTTTCCTTACAGGACAAAGCAGTTGTGTGTATTTCAAATGGGCATGACTATAAATAAAAGACTTGTTTTAAACAAAAAATGCCTCAAAAAAGGGAAGGGAAAAAAGGGAGTTTTAATGAAAACCCATAAACAAAAGAAAACCTGCAGGCAGGTAATTGTTAGGCAAATGGCACTAAAACCTGATGCAGGTAACCTAGTGGAAAGGGGTTCTCTCATATTCTTTCAAACTAGGCTTCAGTTTCAGAACTCACAAGAAAGAAATCTCAGAAGGGCCTAAAGATCAGGGTTTGTGGCTGAGTAATCTTGTTAAAGTGACGTCTGCACTGAGTCGAGGAAGGGAATCAAGCGGCCCTGCGTGTGCGCTTCCCCACCTCTCTTATGCCCTACGAAAGGGCGTCGTCACACCCTGACCGGCCGAGAGGGGAATGCACCAAGCTGCTCTCAATCACTGATCAGGAGTCAGTCCCCACAGCCTGCAACAGGTTGTCTGAATAACCCTCCAATCAATGGAGTGGCAGTTTGACATTCACCTGAATTAAAAGTTAAAAGTTAAATTACAGGAAGAACTAAAAAATGAGGGACTGATACAAAGTAACCTGCTAGATAATTCCTATTGATTTCAGTATCTTTTGCAGTCTGCACTAAGTACAAGCAGCTTAATACATTTTTTAATTAAGGAAGGTCTAAAATCATCATGGAATAATTTACCACGAGAGTTAAACTTCAGCCCCATTTCTTGAGCCTGTATTTGTTTAAACGGTGTCTATTTGTCAAAAAGCAATGGAGAATTAGCTATCAGCAGTTCCTGTTTGTAACGCACTCATGGATGTACAGACAACTGTCGCTGGATCACTTTGATACTGAAGAAAACTTAAAAACCTGATCACTCTCAGTCAAGTTCTGCAGTTAACAAGGAGAATCTTTCGTCTGTGATTTCTTCAGTGAATCAAAAAAACATGTGCATCGTGTTTGCGTGTTCAGACGTGACTGAGTTATGACTCACGAGAGTTTTAACTGAAATTGCGCAATTCACCTCACGCAGTAACTCTGCGCCTCCTCTCAGCTGGAAAACCTCATTGTTCCTCTAAGAAATGAAGTTACTGCAGCATTGTAGACAGACAGAAATACTGTTTAGTATGTTTAGGTAAGAATACTTTACCTTCTACTTTTGCTTGGCTCTCCTCTATTAAAGAATAAAGGAGAAGGAAACTCTCTATCTTTATGTTGCTTTGGGTATTTAACTGTGTTCCTGCTAGCTGGTGGCTCTTTGTGTCGGTGAATGAGCTTGTCAAAGGTATTGCGTGATAAGTCAATCCCAGAAGAGGCCCAGAAAGCAGGACAGCTGCACTCCAGCAGACTCCACAGGGAGCATACGACGGGCTCTGCCGCCGTCACCGACACGGAGCAGCATGTGTGTGTCCGCAGTATCAGAGGAACCCAATTTAACTGACTTTTCATATACCAGAGGTCGTGAAAAAACACCCGCGTCACATTTCAAATTAACAAGAGACACACACACACCAGAGCCAAACAGGGACAGGAGGAAAAGTGGGACGTCCTCAAAACTCTCCAGATCGGGGAGCCAACCTAGTTCCTCTCAGAGACGGAGCCACTTGGCAGACCCACAAACACACACACACACACACTCCCTCAAGCACTTTGTCTCTATTGATCACCTGCGACTGGATGATGGTATGGCTGCCATTGAACGGGGACTTGCGGTCTTTATCCCTCCGATGGCGGCTGCTGCGTTTGCTGCGCTGAAGCTGCTGACGCAATTTGGCAATCTGGAGAGTTTCACAGACAGACAGACACTGTAATACAGACATATATGTAGGTGAAAACTGCCGCACAGGGCTCAGAAACAGAGTTTATTTACAACACAAAAGGGCATTTTTTTTGCAAGTGGCTGTTTATTTGGAAAATCAGGAAAGAGACTGACCTCCTTGAGCTGGTCGGTGCTCCCACAGGAGGCCGAGCGTTTGTGAGAGCCCCTCCTCCTCTCATCTGCCCAGGCCCTGGGGGTCTGATACACACACATACACACACATTGGTTAGAGCTATCAAACATAGAAACACAAAACAACCAAATTAGGAGACACATGATTGGAAAAAAACGTCACAAGAAAACCCGACTGGATGAAATAATCCATAAATAATAGAAATAGTCCATAGTCACAGTCAATCTCTAATGTGTTTCCGTCATTAAACGTGCCGTTGTTTGTGTTATTGGGTTTAAAGTGACAAAAACAAACTGCATGAACTGTAGGGACTCTCCTTTAACTAAAATAATCTGCTCGTAACTCACGTCCTCTCCACACTTAAGAGGGTCAAAAGAAGACATTGCTTCATCTTAATGGGTCACAAGCCAAACATGTAGGGAGGAGGCTAAAACAAGCGTTAGAATTTCTATGAATCAATACGGTGTCATTCACAAGCACCACTAAAGGGCCCATATATAATAATACAGTTAAGAATGTTAAAGTGTAATATTATGGGTTTTATACAACAGCAACAATGTGTGTGAGTGTGTGTGTGTGTTATCTTGTTAGCGGTGTAAAAAGAGAACAGAAACAAACGTCCTCAGGCAAATTTGAAACATCATTCGACCACTCTGGTTGCCTGACCGCCTTAAATATTTTACGGCTAGTGTTTGACCTGAGTCGGATTCAAAGTCAGTGTGTGAGTGACAGTCAGAGGCAACGCAGCAGGAGATGATGCAACTGTCTGCAATCTCTCGGAACCTCTTTGTATTGATTTCCTGCTTCGCATACACACACACATACACCTCGCAAGCGTTCAGTATCGCTGGTCTGAAACAAGAACACACACACATATGTAAAGACCACTGCAGCCTACGTGGCTTTGCTTCAAGTGATTCATTCATTTGTACTATTTCTGGATCTTTCAAAGGCATGTGATACAGTGAATCATGACATTTAGTATCTTAATTGTGGACATAGACAGAGATGCAGCATTTGTGTGGTTAAAAAACTATATTTTTAACAGAGAACAAGTTGTTAGGATGCCGTGTTGCCATTCTCACAAAACACTATTACAATGTGGCATGCCTCAGGGCTCCTTTCTTGGGCCACTTTTATTCCTGAATTTACCGAATGTGTCCAACATAGTTTGTCTTATAAGGTTTTCAGATGATACAAAATACACATTTTCGCTCATTGATTTAAAAAGCTAACTCTGGTTTGTCCACTTATGCAGATTCCTTTCCCTTGGTTGAATTCACCAAATCCTACATAATTAAAATGCAAACATATTTTATTTATTTATTTGTTTTTTTGTTATGTCAGAACATATTTTCAGCAGTCTAAATTTGTAAATAAAGACATTGTATTTTGCCTTCTCTCTGCATATACATTTTCATTATTTGTATATAACTTGTGTGATTTTTAACCTGTGCATAATATAACACAAACCCGTGCACCACCCACCATTACACACACACACACATCACATGCATTTAAACCCCCCCCAACACGCCCACCCTTCACCCCCTAACCTGTGTCGCTGTTTCTCCGTACATAGTATTAGCTGGGATACTGTTGGTGCTGGCTTGTCGTCCTGAGGCGAGGACCCGTGGTCCGAAGAAGTGGAGAGCCAGCGAGACGCAGCCCTGAGTGAGCGAGCCCAGACTGGACGCAAGAAATGGACGACGCACCCGCCCCGCACGCGGACGCGCGAGACACTCGACCGGCGGACCGCGTCGAGACACCGGGACGAGGAGACGCTGCGAGGACCCGTGGAGCGGAGGAGAGACCACAGAGAGCAGGTGGGAGGTTAAAGGCAACTGAAAATGCAAGTCTTGGAGGAGGAAAAGAGGAAGAGAGAGGCCTCACCGTCTACGATCGAGGCGAGGTCCTGCCTGGAGATGTAAACACACACATACTTCAGTCAAACACATTCAAACAACATCACACAGCACAGCACCACAGCTGGCCTGCTCAGGATTAGGACTGCTCACGGCTGTCGTTCCTCTGTCTTCGTAGGTTTGTCCTTGTTGTGTGGCGGTGTGTGTGTCTCCATGCACGCTTCTCTGGTGTTTCCCAGATGGATTTAATTCCCTCCCGTGCTGGGGCGCAGACGTGGATTATAGCTCCCCCCTGCGTTAGTTCTCACACACGCAGCCGCCGCCGGTTAAAGAGAGTGGGCAGTTAAACAGCTCTACAGCAGCGAGAGGTGAGGCCCTGGGGGGGAGCCCAAGGGGGGGGGAACGTGAGGCAAGGTGCTTGGCCTTCTGGCACCGGAAGACTGACCTGAATTTCAGGCTGCGCTGCGTGTTTTGATGAGTGCAGTGACACCCACACCGGCGGCTTCGCAGGGGTGATCCGCCCCTCACTCAGCGGTGGAGTTTCGGGGATTTTTTCAATTTCTCATGATTCCGTTTTTTTTGCGAATCACAACAAGACCATTTATCGTTATGTCCACTAGGAGGAGGGGAAATTTACCAAATTGTTTTTCTATAATGGATTCTAGGAAGGCAAATGAACTGTTGGTGTGAGCAAAGCAACCGATTTTTTAATAAAAAGTGTTTTTTTGCTCAATTTTGTTAATGATTTATACTTAAACATAAGTGCAACCCAGTAAACAACGAGAGCTCTATTATGTCAGCTCGACCTCAACCATCTCCACGTCCCAACTATTGATCGAACACCCCTCTTAGCATGTGAATATTTAAATCGATGTGCTTTATTTGTGTATTGATATCAACTTTTTAGTTTTGTGTCGGAGAGACGTATTATCTTGGGAACCTATTGCGGCTTTCAGAATGTAACACCCAGTGTCGACTTGTATTTGAATTTCCACGACGCTTTTTTGGTTTGGGGAGTGAAGGTGCCTTCCAACTGACCGGACGGGAAGGAAGGAAATTTTCAAATGATCCAAGCAACGAATACACTGTAAGGACTCCTCCTCGACATCATACCAGGTATCAATGATTTAATCCTGTTGTACTCCAGGTATCCAAATCCAATCTCCACCCCTCATTTCTCAGCAACGTGTGCGTGGGCCTTAAACTTGTGTGTATTTTTAATATTGATACTCTTAACCTCATATCGATTGCTAGTATTTATGAAGCATCTTCACACATAACAAAAAGCATCTCCGTTTGTTGATGGATGGTGGGCACGAGCCACCTTTGCAGGATTAAAGGAAGCGTTTCTTTTTGTATCAGCGATGGCGCTCCCGGAGGAATGATAAGTCTGTCCGATCCATTACAACAAACAGTACTGTACACGCAGGCATTCATATGTACTATGATACACAGCACCGACTGCCACTGCTGCCTCTCCTTGGATGCCTTAAGGTGTGGGGCGAGGGGGCATTGAAGCCAGCGCACAACGCTGTCTTGCGTTATGTGGAACGTATGCTGAGCTGAATCGTTCACACAGCACCTCCGGATGGATGTTATGTCTTGTGTGTGTGTGGTGTTGTGTATGATGTTGTATACGTGGTTGAATCCACGGCCCACGTCCTCTTAGCAACACACCATGGCATCTCAGACTTTTTTTCCTGTAGGTTGTTTCGGTTCAGCCGACAGTGCTGTTACACAAGCTGCACACAATAAATGTACTGCGCCCTGACAGCGCAGTTGCAGCTGACACAACAGCTTCAAGTAAATAGTATTAGTAGTAATTAGTATATAAGTCACCGCTCCCTTTAGTATTAGTATAAGTTTAGTATTTTAGTATCATTTAGTATTAGTATATTATGTTAGTGATTAGTGATTGATTATTAAGTAATAAGTATTAGATACTAAAGTTAGTATTTAGTATCATTTAAGTATTTAGTTAATGATTAAGTAATTAGTATTAGGTATTAGTAATTAATTATTAGTACTAGACCTCAATACATTAGGTATTAAAAAGACATTTATAAGTACTGAGTCCACTATTTTCATCATCTAGTATTGTAAATATTCAGATAAATTAGTATCACCTTAACTAGTATTAGTAGCCACATATATATTAAGTAGTTAAGTATTAGTATATGTATTTTAGAATTACCTAAAGATATATAGTTACTAGTACACGTATTCAAGTGATTCATAGTTTAGTTATCATATGTATATAGTATTAGTAATTAGTAGCAGACACCCCCCCACCCCCCCCCCCCACCCCCCCCCCCTTTAGTATTAGTACTAAGTATCATATAGTATTTTAAAAACCCAATTGGGTAGCGTAAGTAGTTATTTGAGGTATCTAAAGTAATTATGAAAACATTAGTATTTAGTACAATTAAGTATTAATAGCATTAGTATTAGTATTATTAGTGTAAGTTAAAAAAAGGTTCGTACGCCTTCGCTCAGCCCCCTGCCCTTCTGTATTTTCTGTATCAGTGATCAAATCGATTGTTAATATTGATCACTGAAACCTTTCCAGGCACATGTGTGTTAACAGATGGTTATTTCTGGATGGAAGCTAACAAACTTGATTGCCACTTTAAGCCAGTCAAGATTAAGTCATTAACCACCAGAAAACTTTACTGATCAAGCACAAAGAACAAAGTGAGGCCTGAAAGTGAATAATAAACAGGGGATGTAAAATAATATTATTTTATTAATTATTATTATTAGTTTTATTATACTTCCAATAAATCAGAAAAAATAGTGACACCCACACACAGCACAAACCCTCCACGCTTCACACAAGGCCCAAGGGACTGATGTCCATCAACAAACTGCTATTTTGCTCCCAAAAAACCTAGTCCAAACACCCAAAGATTCGCTCGACCTGCACCTCACTCGCATGCCCCCCTCAACTTAACAAACCATTAGTGAAGGAGGAAAACAGGACATTTTTTCATCACTTTTGCTATAAAAAAAAACAAATAAATAAATGGTTTCAGGTCCAGTATTACCCCAACAGCCTAATGAAGGGAGCCAATTTATTCCAACCCAATAACACGGTTTCATTAACCAAAAACTAGAACAAGCTTAACACTTGTAACTTGAAATTTCAACGAAAGGTTGCACACACACTCAAATCCCCACGCACAGCAATTCAACAAAATATATAGTTTCAAATGTGTGATTACTGGGGAGACCACTCCCCCACAAATACCCCAACATCAGACATCAAAACACCCAAAACCAATCCACACAGGGCCCGTGCATGTGGACTTAAAGGCTAGTTTTGTGAGGACCAAAAAAAACACAATAAAAAACACCCTCACTGCAGAAAGACAGGGTTGCTGAGGAGTGCGCTGCATAGCAAAGGAGCAAGGAGTCATTCAGACAACCCCAAGCACCCCTGTTGAAACCACATCAGCCCGCCTGCGTCCGGAGGATGCTAAAGAGGAGGCGGGAGAGGTCGGGTCAGAGGACCCCACCCGCGTGGCCCTGGCTTATTCGAGCGAGAAACTCCTCTCCCGGACCCATCATATTACACGCAATGACATAGAAAATCCGTAATGCGATCCACCCCCCCCCACTTTTTTGATATAGCGATACAGAGGTGTCAAAATGGGCTTGCTCTACCCGCACCCTGCCACTCCTCAGTCCGCGTTGGATGATGTTAATTTTACTCTCTTTCCTCTCGCTACTCGCTCCTCGTGATGCGTTTTAAAAAGGACGGATGATTGTGGTCGAGAGATGAAACGACACACAACAAACGTTGTCCTTTGTGGATTGTGGCGCGTTGCGTAGTGCCGAAAAAAAGAGAATCAAAAATTAGAGGAACGGCAGAAAGAAAGACTGTTATAAGCTGCGTTAGCCATCGGTTACGACGAGATGAGACCCGCGGTTTAAAGCTGCCCATGAATACGCTCGACTCTAACCTTCTAATTCAAAGTAGAAATAATCCATTTGGAGGGAGTTTGAAGTTGGAGTCCATCAGTTTACTTTCTATTCTCCACCTTTCTCCCCAGTGCACCATGAAAATGCAGAAATATACACAACAAAATCTAGTGAAGGCGGTTCGTAATAATATTCCAGTTTGTGGTTGTTCTCTTAAATTGTTTTTATCTCTTTTTATTTTAGATAATGAATAGATAGAACTAGCACTGATTTATGATAGTTTAGATTTTTTATTTTAGAATAGATAGATATTATACCAAAATAGACCTAGAAAATAATAATGATAAAATAGATAGATAGAATAGATTTTTTTGCACAGTGCACACATTTTTGCAACAAACAAAACTTGGACCCAGGTATAGTACTCTCAGCACAGATTAATGGGAGCCGCTTTAATGATATCATTTAGTAAAAAACTCCGGTGACCCCTTTTTAGACCACGAGCGTTCTTATATTTTAATGGATTTTCTTTAACAAGTAGCATATATTGTGACATATGGTGTACTTACTGCTCTAGTATACCTGGCAATGACTTTTGTGACTCCTTAACACGGCGCCGATTTCGACTGCCCACTCTTTAATCATCTTATTTGCGGTCTGTGAAGGCTGCACACACTTATCAAAAGTAGTTATTATATCGAAAAAATCGCAAATTTAGCAAAAGTGCAATATGCAAAAGCTGTAATGTTATCTGATTAAAGGTTCGTAAATGATGTGTGACATGCAAACAGCAATTATTAATAATAATAGTGTCATTTCTGATTTTGACTCTTTAATGGATTCATTGATAGGGGTGGTATAAATATTTCTTTTTAAGATAGATCGATTGTTAATATTTGATGATTTTATACCATATTGTGCAGCTAATTAATTTCATTTTTTTACAATTATACCTTTGTATAACAATTCTCTCTCTGTATTAATGTCTTTTGTTTTAAATAATTTCTTTAAAAAAAACATAAAAAAAAAATACATATTTAAGTAACTTCTTATTTGACAAATTCAGTGTTATCCTATGACCTGGCACTTGGTCAGTTGTTCTATTAACACTTTACTTTACTTATAACAATTACTTTTCTTCACAGAAGTGAACATAAATGCTTTGAGGACTGTAGTTTGCTAGATGTTAATGTAATAAAGTATATAAACTATTCTCCTACACCCCCTTCAAAAATCCAAAGAAGCCTTATCATTGAAGTGCATTTAGGCGACCTTAGTGGCCATTCACTGGTGGGTAATGATTATGAATTAGTAAATATACTATTGAGAGGGGTTTTTGATCTTCTGTCTATGTTAAATGACCTCGATACACTGCCACCCCGCTGGAAACAAGTAACAAAAGACCCCCGTTTGACAGCAGAGTGCGTAGTGACGAAATATGATTAAGCGATAGTTCCTTAGGTAAGGGGTTCCTCTGGTATAATAGAAATGATGACAGTTCATAGTAAAAAATATTGTGCCTGTGGGCGTGGTGAGGGGCTGATTGTCTCGCACCTCCACACGTAATCTTGAACCAAATGCATAGGTGTTTATAATACTTTGCAGTTTACAGTCTATTGTGCTCCGTTCTAGAAAGAAATACTGAAGATAAACATACTAATAATAAGTAATTATTCGATATTATTTGTCGGGTGAATAACTTCTTTGTCTATTTCTTTAGCACCATCACTATTGCCCTGGAGTGATGCCTGCCTGCTGTCCAACCTGACACTTTCTCCGATCTCAAGCAGGACCAGACTAAATCCATATTTTACAAAGTAAAGAACACACTGTCACTCTCCTCAACTCCTATCTATAAAAAGAAGTAATGTTCTTGATATAAACCACTTTGCCAACACTCTCAACACTGTATTATATCACAGCAGACACAATATCGAACCAATACAGGTTGCGCATAAAAAAAAACATCACCCAACTTCCAAAAAAAACATAAGAACACACCAGTTTTACTGAATGAAAACCGTCTCAAAAACACGTGACTTTTATATTGAAAATGAGTAATGTCTGTCTGGGTTATCACGTAAAATTCTCTCCGCTCTCTCGACAACTGCCTGTGACGTAACGTACCAACGCCGCGAATCTCTAGATGACTGAATGCTGCAGAAATATGCAGAGCTAGTGCGGTAAATCGGAGACATGCACAGGCACCGGACATTGCCACATGGTAAGAAAAAAGGAAGAAGTGAAAAGAAGGGGAGAAAGGAAAAAGAGGGCGTACAACTAAAAATGCGAGGAAAAGCAGAGGAAAAAGAGTCCTCGCTCGTGTGTCGACAAGTGTAGAAAAACCATCACATAAAACAGACAATCCGT